TACTCCAGAGTGTTGTTCAGCATGGGGGTGAGTAGAAAATGAAGGCTAATCATGTTTTGGGTGTACTATTCCTTTAAGGGGTTTATTTTCCCCATAGTATAAAGATTTTACGCTACTGTAATAAAGCATATCTTTTACCTTTACTCGGCGGCAAAACGGATGTTTTTCTGTCATTTGATGGCAAATATAAACATTTTTGGTTAGAAATGAGCCCAGATCAAGATTCTCTTGATCTCTTTCGCCCCTCAGGTTCCAGGAGATGTGTTACAAGGCCTACCTGGCAATCCGGCAGCACGCCAACCTCTTCATCAACCTCTTCTCCATGATGCTGGGCTCGGGGATGCCTGAGCTGCAGTCGTTCGACGACATCGCGTACATCAGGAAGACCCTGGCGCTAGACAAGTCTGAGCAGGAGGCCCTGGACTACTTCATGAAGCAGATGAACGACGCCCATCACGGCGGCTGGACCACCAAGATGGACTGGATCTTCCACACAATCCGCCAGCACGCCATGAACTGAGAGGAGGGGGGGGAGCCGTTCCGAACAGCTTAACCTCCCCCGTTAGAGACATTGAAAAGGACTCGGAGAACCATTGAAGTTTTACTTCACATGAACCTAATTAGTATAAAAGAAAAAAACCTCAATGAACACTAATCTTTATAAAAACTCTAAAAAAATATATATTATTTTCTTACTTTTTAATCCCTTCCATACGTCCCCAACCATCAGGAGCGAAACACGACAAACGCTGCAGCACAAGACGGAAGATGAGCCCAACCAGCCCAAAGTTTACACGGTGGTTTGATAAACACTGAGTGCCCCAGTAAGGCGGCGCCCCCCCGCATCCATTAACAGACTTTTCTACAGCAGTATCTCTATTTGCCTATACGCATTTGGTGCACATGTTCCTTTTTAACAGAGTTTTCTACTGAGCCAAAGTTCCCTGTATATTTGTGTGTATGCGTGTGTGTTTAAAACCCCACTACATGGCAGTCTTATTTTAAACCAACCCAAAAAAAGAAAAGAATTCCCCTCTATTCCACGGCTTGTGTTCACATTAGCACTGATCTCTGCAGTATTTGTTTAGTCTGTCAGTATTACTGTCACCTGTAAAGAAACCATCATCCGGACCCGACCTCACAGGACGACAAAGCTCCTCTTTTTGGTTCTTTTTTTTTCTCCAGGATTCGAAAAATGAGGAGGAAAAAAAAAAAGCGGATTTGAATGTTCCTAAAGCATCACGTTCTGTTCTACTATGCAAGTTGCAGCTCTAAAAATGTACTATATGCTAGAAAAAGACTGAAACCTCCCTGAGGATACTCGGAAATGTGTCGGTGAAGGACAGACGGCTGCCTTGAGGGGGGAAAAACAAAATAAGATGCCAGACTACTTCCATTGGAGGAGTACGGTCTGCTTCCTCCCTGCAGAATGAGATCTGTTTGGGAAAACACTTCAAATCCTGCCTGGTTTTTTTTTGTTTGTTTTTTTGTTTTGGGTGGGAACGGGTCCTGAAGCATCAACCCAAGCTGTGCTCCTCATCCTAATCCTTCATTTTGACATGTGGGAAAAGAAAACGGGATATTCCTCCGCCTTCAAAGTAGACCCGGGTTACGCCCCCTCTGTTCTCTAAGAAGTTTGTTTCAGAACCTCTTAAATTATTCTATCATCCACATTTCCACAGTTAAAGTCCCGCTAATGAGACGATTGACAGGATGGAAAACAAACAGCAGGCTACCTCCGCTACATATAGCCAACTATCGCATGATTTAACTTGGTTAGATCAGACCAAGATGGCAGTTTGGAGGTATATTCATAAGTTAAGGTGTAAAAACGAAGTAAGCCTTGCTTATCATTAGCTAGCTAATAAAACAGGAATCTAAACTACAAGCAGCGTTTCTATAAAGCAGCAGGCTAGCTAGCGCAGCGGGAAACGGCTAACCAGCTAATATAATGTAAGTTAGGGGGTGAATGTTGATCAGATACTGTTTAAAGCAAAAAAACAATTTTGGAAAAAAAAAAAAAAA